GCAACATGCTTAAGCAAACTGCCACGAATGAATTTTTGCTGAGAAAGATGCTGTAGTGTGCACTGGGCTTTAGTCAATTATGGTTCAACTTGCAGGGATCACCGCATGCTTGTTGCTAGTGTCATGTATTAATAGTTTGCAACTAACACAAAAAGTTGCCCGTTGTGCTATTGTTTATATTACATTATTTATCTCTGCAAATTTTCCATGCAGCATGCAATGAGAGAGAAAGAGAGAAAACACTGATGGCCTGAAGGAATTTTTAATGTAGTCAGATTGGCAGCCTAAATAGTACCAACAAACACGTCTCTGAAATACCATACAGCAATATAATGAAGACAGTGATCACAAGACAGTAATACATACATCTTATTCACTGTGTTGTGTTGACTATAGAAAAGAAACAATGTCTTGCTATGAATGATTTGGAGCACTATTCACTTATCGTTATAGGTCGCATCATGACATCATTCAAATACATTTCGAGTTGACTGCTGAAGCAATAATTATTATTAATGCAAATATAATTTGTCAATGCTCAATTGCAAGAGAAAGTAGATAAATATCTTCTTTCCATTTCTAGGAGAGTTAGAAATCACAAATGCAGCATAGTGTATATTGATAGTTGCTAAATTGCAACCATAATGACTTCTGCATCATAAATATACAATATGTAGTTCATGAATATTAATTAGCAATCACCAGACTGGACAGGCTGGACAGAACCCAGAACAGGGTGGTCTAAATGGCTACTCTTTTCCTAAATGTTGTAGAGTGGGGTACACCTCTCAAAAATTAGCATAATTCCACTAATTAATAAATAAATATCTCAGACGAATTCAGGTTCTTGAAGTCTAATAAACAGTTCTCCCCCTCCCAATCAGTAAATCATGGTGACTACCTCACTCTGGCCAAGAATATGCAAATTATGCAAATCTTTAACAAGAAGATTTTCTTTCTCAGGCCATTAACATCAACACAACTTGAAGGAACACAAAAAGAAGCAGAAGTGATTTTGCTCTCATCTGTGGAAGAGGAAGATGCATGTCCATCCCAACAGGATATGTTTATTGCAAGTCCTGATTATGATGAACAAGGTAAGAATAATGTATGATGGATTTTGTTACTCATGCTACCTAGAATAAGGTAAATCTTATTATCATTTGAAATTTTAACAAAAGAGAAATTCATTCTAGAATTTATTTGTTTGTAGATTTTTCTCATCACAGAATATCCACACCATCCGTTACTATTAGTTCACTTCATCTGTCAGGAAGGAGGACATTTGTCCCTGAAACCAGTACATCTGAAGAGTGAGTTTGAATTAAATTATTTAAATTTTTCAAAATTCAATGTGCTGTATAATATAAAAAGTCTACTGACGTGTA